GTAAATCAGTCTCAAAACAAGATCAAAAAGACTTTTTGGATGGATATAAGATTTTGAAACTTGTTAAGATGGACAGTTTTTGCAGTGTGGTGTGTGTCTGCTTTAGGCTGCTCCACTTGTTGTCTGTGTTGGAGTTTTCCCCAGTAGAGAAGAGGTAAGTTTCCCTGCGCCTTTGAGTGGAGGTGATGGGCTCGACGGTCATTTGTTCCTACGCCCTGAATGGCAGTTCAGAGGATCCGGACTCCTTTATTCTGCTGGGGGACTTCAGTGCTCATGTGGGTAACGAAAGTGGGACCTCCATGAGGAACAACCTCTCTGATCTGAGCCAGAGCTGTGTTCTGTTGTTGTACCTCTGTACTGTTACAGTTTGTCCATCACAAACACCATGCTGTCAAAAAGCGTGAAATAGTTGAATGTCTTGGGCAAGGTCTGAAAACTTTAGATATTTCACAAAGCATCATACTGTTAAGAGATCTGTGGCTGATTCAGAGCAGATAAAAAAACTGTGAGGAGGGTTTCTGTCAGACAAATACATCAAATTAACAGTTTAACTTCGGCTAAACATGAAACATCTCGTTCCTGTTCTCATTGGTACAACTAASCAACGCTAACAAACAAAAACTGAGCTCTACTTGGTACTTCCTGGATAGAAACAGCTTTTTAACACGTCCTGTTAAAAATGCTGAAAAGTACTACGTGTACAACTGACCAAATGTGAAAGAAGAAAGAAAGTTTTACTCACTGTTGAGTTTTATGAGTGGCTGCCGCCATGAATTCTGCCATTTTCTGATAGGGAATTCCCATGCATAATTGACTTGCATCATGGGAGATGTAGTTTATGGTTAATTAAAGCTTCGACACTTTAATACAGGGTTATTTAACTGAATTGCTCAGGAGGCCACAGTTACTTACTACAAAGCCAACAGCTCAGGGGTTGGACAAGCATTATTACCTTTCACCATTTAAATTTGTTTGTTTTGTTGCATTAAATCATAAATTTAAGGTTTATAAATGGTATGAAAACTATTTTCATATTATTTAGAGGGTGGGAGGTGACGGGCCACTTTGGTGGGTCAGATGAAAATTACCTTCGGGCCTTGAGTTTGACACATGCTCCAGAGACTTGCAATACTGTAAACTTTCTTTACAGCTTTGCATCATCTGTTGCTATGGCATAAAAGAGAAATTGATGATGTGGCTCCCATCCTCCCCTGACCTCAACTCTAATTGAGAACCTCTGGAGCCTTAAGCCAAAGGTCTCTGAGGGTGGGAGTTTTTGATTTCAGTAAACATGACCTACTGCTACAAATTCAACAAAAGACCATTTTCAGTTCTTTACAACTTATAAAATGTTTTTTAAGACWTTGTTGTGTGTAAACAATTTGAAATGCAAAGTATTTACAGAACATTCTGATCCACGACTCTTGATAAAACCCATTGACATCACTGCTTTCTGACCTTTGACCTCCACAGCCTTTAAACATGCACTGCAGCACGTGTGCCCTGGTGACCAGCTCTGGCCAGCTGACCAGAAGCAGGAAAGGCGACGACATCGACCGCTCTGAGTGCGTCATCCGGATGAACGACGCTCCCAGCGCWGGTTACCAGCAGGATGTCGGCCGGCGCACCAGTCTGCGTGTCGTGGCTCACTCCAGCCTCCAACGGGTYCTGCAGAGGAGGCAGGAGCTGCTGCTGAACAGCAGCCAGGACACCGTGTTCATCTTCTGGGGGCCGAGCAGCAGCATGAGGCGGGACGGGAGAGGCCATGTTTACAACAATCTCCGACTGCTGAAGCAGCTGCAGCCCAAACTGAAAGTCTACATCATTTCCAGGATCAAGATGTTGAAGTTTGATGAGTTATTTAAGAAAGAAACAGGAGTTGACAGGTAAAATTTTACAAAAGACTCTTAGATTTTTAGGCTTTCAAGCACAGGAGGCTAAACTCAGTTACTCAAGGGGGTCAAATTACAAATTTTGCAGTCCGTTTTATAAATTGGACCAATTTATACAACAGAGTATCAGGGCCAAACTAAAAAAACAAACAAACATAAATAATACATTTAGAAAGATTCACTATTAACGTTTCTTACTTATGGTTATTCTCTATCAACAACAGATTAATTCATTATATCTTGGAGATCTTATCTTAACATTTTATCAATATCCAGCAAACCAGAAAAAAACTAAAATCTAATTATTCGACTTAATAAGAATAAAATACAAAAAACTAAACTAATTACAGTTGTCTGCTGTTATTAGAAGACTGCACTAAATAAGGTGACAAAAAAAGATAAAACTATTTTATTTTAAAAATATTACCTTTTGGGCCGGATAAAATGTTAATAAGAGCCAGATTTGGCCCATGAGCCTTCAGTTGGACACGTGCTTCAGAACCTTGGAAACAATGTGTAAGGAGGAAATAATGATCAAAAAAATAACTTTTTATGACCTACACAGAACTTTAAAATATCTGACCAAGCTGCGCAAATACAGTAATCTTTTTTGTTTTGTTTTAATCCAAAACTTTAACATGTTTGTTGCCTTAAAAGCACAAAGTAGTCAGAAATCTCAGCATCACCTCAGAGGCTGCAGTCGGTGCTTGGTTCTGAACACTTTCTAAGTATGAAAATGTTTGAGRTAATCTGATTTATTCTAATTGTTTTGTTGCACATGAGGTGCGTTTAAACGAAGTGTGGAAAAACCCTGACAGAACGGGACGAATGAAACAAACAGATAAAGACGTTTGACTGACGTGAATCCAGCTACTCACATGAAGTCATTTGCATGCAAACAATAAGCCCCGCGGGAGGATGAGCGGATGTTGCATCTGAATGAGGTTTCAGGCTCTCAGACGTCTGTGGAACAATAGTCGGTGTCAGAACTAATGTCTTATTTGTTGCCGTCTTTTGTCCGTCCTSTGCAGTGCAGAGAAAATGCAACTGTAGAACTATGGCTTGGTAATAAAACCAGACATGTCGTTTTTCTCTTTTTGTCTATTTCAGGAAAAGCTCCAATTCGTGGCTCAGCACTGGCTGGTTCACCATGGCCATAGCTCTGGAGCTTTGTGACAGGATTAATGTGTACGGCATGGTGCCACCTGACTTCTGCAGGTGGGGTTTGTTGCTGTTGAGTTGCGCAGCAGTTTAATTCTCATTTGCACATTACTGCAAACACCTACATAGTACTCAGAACTCATTAGTGAACTCAACYTTCTTCTTCAACTTGTGCATCATCTTTAATTCCGAGTTTTCCATTTGTAAGGCCTTTGGGTTGATTATACATTCAGCAGCTGCAGAGCAAAACGACCTTTGAGTTAAAACCACCAGGATATTACTTTTTTAAATCAGTTCTGCTCTCCGTCAACTCCTGAGAGAAATTATTTTTTCCCCCACAGCTTTAGATGCTTTGRTATAATCATCACACAGTGAGCCAGATGTAGGTAGTATCTGAGCCAGTCTGGCCTCTTCAACTTACTGTTCAGTCTGTGTTAGAGAAGCCAGACTGAGATGGTTTGGACATGTCCAGAGGAGGGACGGTGGGTATACTGGTAAAAGGATGTTTACACACGTATTGCACATGTGTATTAGGATTCATGATATTTTATCTTGTTCTGTTGTTTTATTGTCTTTTAAACTGTTTTGTGTTGTTAAAGGCCAATCTGAGGCTACAAATGCTATTCTATAGTGTTRTGTATTTGTTTATACTTCGCACTTGCCCCCATACAAACAAACTAGACAGACAGACAGACAGACAGACGGACAGACAGACAGACAGACAGACAGACAGACAGACAGACAGACAGACAGACAGACAGACAGACAGACAGACAGACAGACAGACAGACAGATAGATTGATTTGGCCAAGTCATTATTTTTTTAAGATATTTGCGATATAATTTGCACTAGTTGAATTGATAGATCTGATATTTATAAATACATTTAAGATATATTGAATAATGATGTCATTTAGAATGTGTTTAAATAGAATTAAGACTACTCAGAACAAATAGTGAGATATCTCATATTTACTCATGACTAGTCATGACAAATCACAACTTAATTCTTGATAGTCAGTAATTTATTACAGATATTTTGAATTGGATCCTCCACACACTTTAATGGTAAATCATTTATTCAACTCAGAATGTAATTAGAGATACCTTAACTGACTAATATATCTAGACAATTTCAGATATCTGGAATGTAAGTGTGTTGAAGTTGATTTTATGTTAAAATGGCCTGCCATGTAGTTGTTTATTATTTATCTCGTCTCCTCTCTCCCTCTCCGCACTTCTGCATCTCATAATTATCCCCTGACCGTTTTCACATTCCTCTGTCGTTCTCTGTCTGTGTCTCCTGTGAAGATCCCCCGCTCATCCCGCCGTGCCGTATCATTACTACGAGCCCTCGGGGCCCGACGAGTGCTCCGTATACCTTCTACACGAGAGGAGTCGACGAGGAAGCCACCACCGCTTCATCACGGAGAAGGTGGTGTTTTCAAACTGGGCTCGAGCTCTGAACGTTCACTTCTACCAGCCCAACTGGAAGCCGCCCGTGGTTGACGCCAGAGCGAACACCTCACACGTTTCAGGCGCTCCACAGGTGATTCCTACGAGAACGTGGGGGACAGTTTCCAGGATGTCTTTGTTGTTATGAGCGAATGAGACAGCAGGAGGACAGAACAAGCTGCTCTGGCCTGTTGGAGGACCTTTACAGCTGTTTGGAACAAGATTTTTGCACATTATCAGCTCAGAATCTCTATCATGATTTGAAAGTGTTCCTAATATGGTGAAAATCAAAGCAGCTTTAAGGCTGTGTTTATCTGCTTTATGAACAATTGAACTCAGAAAGAAGACAACGTATCATGACAAAGATTCTGATCCAAACAATATCATATCTATAATACTGTACTGCTTAGAAGTGAGTATGTGTATATTAAAGGGATTTAAAACTTAATTTAAAGGATGTTGAACCTGTGAAACAAATGACATTATTCCATCCATCAGTCATGACAGATCAGGGATGGACAACTGTCGGCACTCGGACCTTATATGGCCCACGCTCTAACTCAAAGCAGTTTAGATTCATTTCTGAAAAGTACAAAAATGTATAAAAGTTTCTCAGTGGCACTGATTTGGTTGTAATGACAAAGTTCAGACCCCACCTCGTGCACACATCTTTTTTACAGGTGAGGAGGAGACGTTTAGCCACAGCTAAGAACAGGAAAAAAATAACTGGAAAGAGAAAATTGTATGTTTCAGGTAAAATGGGAGGTCTGGTCACAGAACTCCAAATTTCAAGGCACAAACATGCGTTTAGTCTGCTTAGAGACGCTGTCTGCCATGAAGGCTTTTAACATACGTCACTACAACAAGTTGCACAAAGCTAAATATGAGACGTTTAATGAAATCACAAGCGCTGTTATTATAGCCAAATTCAAATCAAAAGTACATAAACATCAGCGGCTTTAGTATTCATATTTATTAAACAAGAGTACAGTTGTTACACATGCATTTGAGTTTGATATATGTTAAGTTTCTGCACTGTATYTTGGTTTAATATATATTCACACAAATATTTTTAAAATGACAGTTTGGGTCAGTGTGCAGCACTATATAGTCCTCTAAAATATCCTTGCCTCTCCCATTATTAAAGTTGCTCATCCCTGGTGTATACATTTCACTGTTGTTCTATAAACATCTCAAACACTTTATATTGTGTAATTTGGCTGTATTATTATAATATTTGCACATTTTCTTTTTCTGAKTCGGAGTTGCCTCTTCTGATAAGCCAGGTCTAGAACAAATAATGCTTGTTTTGACAAGTTATGGTCTAAAACATTATAAACATATATTAAAAGGCCTAAATGCCATAGATAGATAGATAGATAGATAGATAGATAGATAGATAGATAGATAGATAGATAGATAGATAGATAGATAGATA